AGGTCCCCAGAGAAGAATGGAAGAGAAGGGATTGTGGTACAGTCATTCCCCCCTGGGGATGATTTCTTGCTTTCTGTCTCTCCATCCCTGTCTCTCTCCAGTAAGCACACACACCCTATAGCAAAAATCTCTTTCAAAAACAAAACAAAAAAAGAGTGTATGTCCTTGGGACCAGCAGGGGAACCATCAGGTGGCATAGTGGTTAAGGCACTGGATTTCCACATGGTCAACTATGGCTCAAGTCCCAGACCTGGAGGCTTGAAAAATCACACCAGGAGTATGGGCACATGTGCCCAAAATCCCAAGAGGATAATAGAGAAGGGATCTGCAGCATTGCCATTCCCCCGGGGAATGATTTCTCTCTCTTGTGTCTCTCGCGAGTGAGTGCATGTGTCTCTCAACAGTGAGTGCAGGTGCCCTATAGCAAATTAAAATAAATAAATAAATAAATAAAGTAAAAGAAATAAAGACTTTCCCACATATTTAAAAACATAAAATTAAAAAAGAACACAAAGAGGTTCTTTTATGGTTCATAAGCATTATGACTGGATTTTTGTGCTACTGTATGAGATGTGCCTCCCTCAGATCTTGTTATGACATCAGCAATTCTGTCAATTCATTCCAAATTGATGAAGTTTCTTTTTATTGTTGTTTAGTTTTTTTGCTATAGGATATGTGTGTTCGCCAGAGAGAGAGAGAAAAATCACCCCCCTACACCCCCACCCCGGAGGGGATAGCCAAGTCACAATCCCTTCGCCTCCATTCTTCTCTCAGGATTTTGGGGATGCACTTACATGCACCCAGCGTGATTTTCTTTTCTTTCTTTCTTTGGAGAGCTTTTTTGCTATAGGGCGCATACACTTGCCAGGAAGACAGAAAGAGACAGAGACAGAAAGCGAGAAATCACCCCCCAGGGGGGATGGTCATGCCGCAATCCCTTCTTCTCCTTTCTTCTCTCGGGATCTTGGGCACGCACACACACGTGCCAGCATGAGTTTGTCACTGGGTCCGGGACTCAAACCGTAGTCGACTACATGGGAGTCCAGCGACATAGCCATTACGTGAACTGCTGGTCCCCACTCAGCGTGATCTTCAAGTTGTTGGGTCCAGGACTGAAACTGAGTAGTCGGCCATGTGGGATTCTGCACCTTACCCTTCATGCCACCTGCGGGCCCGATAAACACTTTCAATGACATTTCAATAAACATCCTGTAAGGCTATTTGGTAAAAACTAAGAAGCTAATCATAAAATTTATATGAAAATGAAAAGGACCTAGAATCTCAAAGCAACTTTGAAAGAGAAGAAAGCTGGAGCACTTACATGATCTAACTTCAATATTTATGATAAAGCTATAATAATGAAAATAGTGTAATACTTATATAAAGCCAAATGGTCAATAAACAAAACATTACCTTGAAATAGACCCACAAATACACAGTAAGTTGATCAAAAGTGCTAAGGTTATTCAGTGGGAAAAGGATAACCATTTCTATAAGTGGTAGCAAAACATCTGGTTATCTTAACCTCTCAGTAAATAACATACAAAAATAACTCCAGATAGATCACGGACCTGAGCATAAGAGCTAAAACTGTAACAGTTCTTCTTTTTAATAATTTAATATTTTATTTAACTTTATTTTATATATTTATTTATTTTAATTTGATCAGAGAGGGACAGAGAGAAAGAGAGTGAGGGAAAGTGAGAAAGCAAGCCTCTAGGTCTGAGACTAGAACTGTGGTCGGCTATGTGAGAGCTCAAAGCTCTCAACCACCATGCCACCTGCTGGTCCCAAAACTTAACACTTCTAAAAAAACATCTAAGTAACCCTGTTTGGCAAAGATTTCTTTTCATTTTCTCTCCTTTCTTTTTTAAGAGAGATTTTTGTTATAGGGTGTATGTGCTCAAGAGAGAGACAGAGAGAAAGTGAGAAATCATCCTCCAAGGGTCATGGCTACAACCTAATTTCTTCTCTTCCATTCCCCTTTAGGGATTTAGGGCATGCATGCACATGTGCCCAGCATGAGTTTCATCTCCCTCCCCCGGCATCTGAGATTCTAACCACAGTACACCATATGGGAGTCCACACCTTAACCACTACGCCACCTCCTATTCCTTCTTTTCACACGCCTTAACCACTATGTCACCTTCTCTTCCTTCTTTTCATTTTCTTAATAGTGTCTTTTGAAGAGTAGAAATACAGCTCTTGACCAAAAAAATACATTGAACTTTTGCTCTTCAAAAGGCACCACTGGGTTGACCACATGGCCTGGTAGTTAAGGGAGCTATATCCCATGGGGCTGCATGGCTGACCTGCAGTTCAAATCCCAGACCTGATGGCTTGAAAAACACACTGGCATGTCTAAAATACCAACAAGATGGAGAAATGGAGGAGAAGGGATTACAATGTGACCATATCCCATTCTGGCAACATTTTTAAAAATATTTTTAAAATTAAAAGACATCATTGGAGTCAGCAGGTGGCATGGTGGTTAAGGTGCTGGACTCCCACAAGGTCAACCACGGTTTGGGTCCTGGACCTGGTGGCTTGCTTTCTCACTTTCCCTCTCTCTCTGTCTCTCTCTTTGGTCAAATTAAATAATAATAATGATAACAAAAGAAATAAATTATAAATAAAATAAATAATTCTAAAAAAATTAAAAGATTTCATGAAGGGGCTGACCCCATAGGACAGCAGATAGGGAACCAGATACCATGTGGTCAATCGCAGTTTCAAATGCAGCCCCAACAGCTTATAAATCAAACCGAGTATGTGCACATGTGCCCAGGATCCTGAAAGGATGCAAAAAAGGAAGAAAAAGGACTGCAGTGCTAGGCTAATATCCAGGTGTGCTTCATTCCTACAAAATTAATAATACTACTGTCATCACTACTTAATTATTGCTTCAGTATTTCAGTATTACGCTACTGCTTACATTTTTATGTTGTGAATTTTTAGAATTTATATTCAATATTTCCATGGGCACTCTGTAACTATCTCACTATATCATACTCATTTGTATATATGTAGAATAAACACTACATTCCAGTTTGCTAAGGACAGTCTCAGTTTACTTTGTTAAAACAGAATAATCTTTTTTAAAAAACTACATTAATGGACTGAACCCACAGCAGCTGAGTGCTCTGCAAGGGGAGCTGGGTCCCACATCGCCAACTTTGGTTTGTATCATAACATGAGAAACATGCTGGCAGGAACCAGCAGTTAGCGTAATGGCTATGTCGCTGGACTCCCACATAGTTGACCACGGTTCACGTCTCGGACCCGGTGGCTTAAAACTCACGCCGGGCACGTGTGCGTGGATGCCCAAGATCCCGAGAGGAGAATGGAGGAGAAGGGATTGCGGCGTGACCATCCCCCTGGGGGGTGATTTCTCACTTTCTGTCTCTATGTCTCTCTCTGTCTGTCTGGCGAGCACACGCGCCCTACAGCGAAAACCTCTCAAAAAAAAAAAAAAAAAACATGCTGGCCACATGTGCATATACACCCAAGTTCCTGACAGGATAGAAAGATGGAGGAGGAAGGATGGGGGCATAACCACACCCAACTGGAAGGGGATGTTATCTCTCTGTCATGAACTCCTATGTTCTCTGACAATAAAAACATTTTTTAAAAAACTAGTTTACAGAGGTAAAACTGACCCACAAAAAGCTGTACTTAATGTACATAATGTGATGAACCTGAAGATAATTGTGCACCTGTAAAAACATCAACATAGTGTGTACATGCCCAGATAATTATTAAAACAGTCTCCTTTCACACCCAAAACTATCCCACTTCAGATAATAAACTATATGGTCATCTTAAATACAGCTGTCCTTAGTATCCACAGGGGAGTAGATATAAAATGGTGTAGTATTTGCATATCATCTATGCATATATACTTTAAATCATTTTTAGATTACTTATGACACCTAATACAATGTAAATGCTAAGCAAATAGTTAATCTGTATTATTTTTGAATTTGCATTATATTTTTACTGTTGTATTGTTATATTTGTGTGCTTCCTGCCCTCCCTCAACTTTTTCAATCCAGTTGACTCTGGAAATGCAGAATCCTCAGACTCAGAGGGCCAACAGTATGTCTGTCTATCTACCAGAATGAAGCTAAAAGATTACAGAAACAATGACTAATTTATCTGTTTAGTGTCAATACCAATACAGGGAAGGCAAATATTTTGGTAATAATTATACAAGTAAGCAACTAAAAATAGATTACAATTTTTTGAAAGAATGATTTATTATTTTATTTTATTTTATTTTTAATTTGCTATAGGGCATTTGTGCTCACCAGAGAAAGAGGAAAAGTGAGAAAGCAAGCCTACAGGTCTGAGACTCGAACAGTGGTCAGCCATGTGGGAGTCCAGCGCCTTAAACACTATACCACCTGCTGTCCCCAGACTTCTTTCTTTCCTTACCTTTTTTTTTTTGGGAGAGATTTTCACTATAGGGCGCATGCGCTCGACAGACAGACAGAGAGAGACAGAGAGACAGAAAGCGAGAAATCA